TCTGAAGTGGGTCTCTTGAAGACAGCGTATGTATGGATCTTGTTTTTGTATCCATTCAGCAAGCCTGTGTCTTTTGGTTGGAGCATTTAATCCGTTCACATTTAAGGTAATTATCGATATGTATGTTTCTATGACCATGTTCTTAATTGTTTTGGGTTTGCTTTTGTAGATCCTTTTCTTCTCTTGTGTTTCCCACTTAGAGAAGTTCATTTAGTATTTGTTGTAGAGCTGGTTTGGTGGTGCTGAATTCTCTTAGCCTTTGCTTGTCTGTAAAGATTTTGATTTCTCCATCGAATCTGAATGAGATCCTTGCCGGGTAGAGTAATCTTGGTTGTAGGTTCTTCCCTTTCATCACTTTAAGTATATCATGCCACTCCCTTCTGGCTTGTAGAGTTTCTGCTGAGAAATCAGTGTTAACCTTATGGGGTTCCCTTGTATGTTATGTGTCGTTTTTCCCTTGCTGCTTTCAATAATTTTTCTTTGTCTTTAATTTTTGCCAATTTGATTGCTATGTGTCTTGACCTGTTTCTCCTTGGGTTTATCCTGTATGGGACTCACTGCACTTCCTGGACTTGGGTGGCTATTTCCTTTCCCATGTTAGGGAAGTTTTCAACTATAATCTCTTCAAATATTTTCTCTGGTCCTTTCTCTCTCTCTTCTCCTTCTGGGACCCCTATAATGTGAATGTTGTTGCGTTTAATGTTGTCCCAGAGGTCTCTTAGGCTGTCTTCCTTTCTTTTCATTCTTTTTTCTTTATTCTGTTCCGCAGCAGTGAATTCCACCATTCTGTCTTCCAGGTCACTTATCAGTTCTTCTGCCTCAGTTATTCTGCTATTGATTCCTTCTAGTGTAGTTTTCATTTCAGTTATTGTATTGTTCATCTCTGTTTGTTTGTTCTTTAATTCTTTGAGGTCTTTGTTAAACATTTCTTGCATCTTCTCGATCTTTGCCTCCATTGTTTTTCCAAGGTCCTGGATCATCTTCACTATCATTATTCTGAATTCTTTTTCTGGAAGGTTGCCTATCTCCACTTCATTTAGTTGTTTTTCTTGGGTTTCATCTTGTTCCTTTATCTGGTACATAGCCCTCTGCTTTTTCATCTTGTCTATCTTTCTGTGAATGTGGTTTTTCTTCCACAGGCTGCAGGATTGTTGTTCTTCTTGCTTCTGGTCTCTGCCCCCTGGTGGATGAGACTATCTAAGAGGCTTGATGGGAGGGACTGGTGGTGGGTAGAGCTGACTGTTGCTCAAAGAGCTCAGTCACTTGACTGTTGATGGGTGGGGCTGGGTTCCCTCCCTGTTGGTTGTTTGGCCTGAGGCAACCCAACAGGAGCCTACCTTGGCTCTTTGGTGGGACTAATGACAGACTCTGGGAGGGCTTACGCCAAGGACTACTTCCCCAAACTTCTGCTGCCAGTGTCCTTCTCCCCACGGTGAGCCACAGTCCCCCTGCCCCCGCCTCTGCAGGACACCCTCCAACACTAATAGGTAGGTCAGGTTCAGTCTCCCCTGGGGTCACTGCTCCTTCCCCTGGGTCCCGATGTGCACACTACTTTGCGTGTGCCCTCCAAGAGTGGAGTCTCTGTTTCCCCCAGTCCTGTCGAAGTCCTGCAATCAATTCCCACTAGGCTTCAAAGTCTGATTCTCTAGGAATTCGTCTTCCTGTTTCTGGACCCCCAGGTTGGGAAGCCTGACGTGGGGCTCAGAACCTTCACTCCAGTGGGTGGACTTCTGTGGTATAAATGTTCTCCAGTCTGTGAGTCACCCACCCAGCAGTTATGGGATTTGATTTTACTGTGATTGGGCCCCTCCTACCATCTCATTGTGGCTTCTCCTCTGTCTTTGGATGTGGGGTATCTTTTTTGGTGAGTTCCAGTGTCTTCCTGTCAATGATTGTCCAGCAACTAGTTGTGATTCTGGTGTTCTCGCAAGAGGGAGTGAGACGGTAGTATTCTTTTTATGACTAATATTCCACTGTATATATACCCACCACGTCTACTTAATCCATTCATCTGTTGATGGGTACATGGGTTGCTTCTGTGTCTTGGCTATTGTAAATCGTGCTGCTATGAATATTGGGGCACATGTATCTTTTCCAATTAGTGTTTTTACTTTTTTCGGAATATATACCCACGAGAGGAATTGCTGGATCATAGTGTAGTTCCATTTTTAGTTTTTTTTCCAGAACCTCCATACTGTTTTCCATAGTGGCTGCACCAATTTACATTCCCACCAACAGTGTATGATGGTTTCTTTTTCTCCACATCCTTGCCAACATTTGTTATTTGTAGATTTTTTTGATGATAGCCATTCTGACAGGTGTGAGGTAATTTGTGTTTTTGATTTGCATTTCTCTAATAATTAGTGAGGCTGAGCATCTTTTTATGGCTTTGTGTGGACATTTTCACAATATTAATTCTTCCAATTCAAGAACACAGGATATCTTTCCATTTATTTGTGTCTTCTTTAATTCTTTTCCTCATTGTCTTATAATTTTCAAGGTAAAGTGTTTTTGCTTAAATTTATTCTTAAGTATTTTTTTCATGCTGTTGTAAAATGGATTTTTTTTCTTATTTTCTCTTTCAGATGTTTTACTGTTAGTATATAGAAATTCAACTGATTTCTGTATGTTGATATTGTATCCTGCAACTCTATTGAATTCATTTGTTCTAACTTTTTTTGTGGAGTCTTTTGGATTTTCTATATATAAAATCATGTCATCTGAAAATAACTACATTTTACTTCTTCCTTTCTGATGTGGATGTGTTTTATTTCTATTTTTTCTCTAATTGCTATGGCTAGAACTTCCAGTACTATTTTGAGTAGAAATGGTGAGAGTTGGCATCCTTGTCTTGTTCCTGATGTTGGATGAAAAAGGTTTTAACTTATCACCATTGAGTATGTTAGCTGTGAGCTTGTCATGTATGGCCTTTATTAGGTATATTCCTTCTATACCTAACTTGTTGAAACCTCTTATCATGAATGGGTGTTGAAACTTGTTAAATTTTTTCTTCATCTATTGAATTCATTATACGATTTTTATCCTTAATTTTGTTAATGGGGCATATCACATTTATTGATTTGCTATATTGAATCATCCTTGCATCCCAGGGATGAATCCCACTTGATCGTAGCTTATGATCCTTTAAGTGTTCTCTTGAATTCTATTTGCTAGTATTTTGTTAAGAATTTTTGCATGTATGGTCATCAGGGATTGGCCTATAATTTTCTTTTCTTATAGTGTTCTTGTCTGGCGCTAGAGTCTGAGGTGTGGGCATGTGCACATCTCCTGTGGAATCGAGGTCTAGGTCTCTGCAGTTTGCTGCAGTGACTTGGGGAGAGGGGGACTCAGCTACAGCAAGGGCCCTGGGATGACAGGGTGCAGTAGTGACTTGGGCCCAGGGAGCAGGGTGCAGTAGCAGCATGGCATGGGGATGGTGTGTCAAAGCCCCAACTCTGGCCCAGGGAGGCAGTCACAGAGCAGCAGCAGTGCATCCAGCTGATAACCCATTAAAGCCAGGTGGGTCCAGATAATGGCTACAGAGGGTGGAGTACAGAGCAGCAGCAGCTTGGCCTGGCAATGGTGAGTCAAAGCCACAACCTAGGACCTGGAGTGAGGCTCAGAGCAGTGGCAGCTCATCTGGTTCCATAGGCAGTAAGGCGCTATGGCTTCCCAGTCTCAGAGAATGGGGCACAGCAGCAACTGGGTCCTGGTGACAGGTCTTACTACCATGACAGCTCTAACCCTGGGGAGTAATGGGGGAGGGGTGTGGTAGCGGGGGGACTCCAGGCAGCTCCATCAGCTTGGGATTAGCACTGGTGCATATGTGGGAGTTCCCCATGGCAGTGAGGCTTGCTGGGGTTCTCCTCTCCTTTTCCTCATGGGGTGAAATTCCTCTGAGGGGATCCCTCCTAACTGGCCTGGGCTAGAAGATGAGGTGACTCAGGTAAAATGCTTCCTGCATTTTTCTATGCAGCCATCCTTGATTTTGAGCTCCTCCGGATTTCTGCTGCTTTTTCTTTGTAGTACAGAGCTCTCCTAGAGCTATTTTCATTGGTTTGCAGTTGTTCGTTTATTATTTTGCTTGTTTGTGAAGGAGACAAGCATTGGGACCTCTTAGCCCTCTATCTTGCTGACATCACCTCTATCATTATTTATTCAAAGAAATTATGCACCTTTTTTGTTCCTTTACTTTTTAAAGCATAATAATGTATCTTGAAAATATTTCCACATCAGCATATCCAAATCAACCAAATTCTTTTTAAGTCCTTTATATCTGAGCATACCACAAGTATGTTATTATTGGCAATAAAAGTATATTACTTAACTAGGCCTCTGTTAAATGGGCACTTTGGTTGTTTCCAGTTTTCTTTCTATAACAATGTTGCAACATACATCATTGAGGTCAGTAGATAAGTTTATAATCCAATCTTGACGCCATCAGTTCAGAGATATGAGTCTTCCACCTAAAAGGAATTGCCACTGTTTCTTCCCTGAAACTGATTTCTTTTGATTCCTTTCTTTTGCAGCTCAGAAATTGACTTATTTAAAACTGACTGATTTTTTGAAAAGCATAGATATATTAAGCATATACATTTTATGTATTCCAAAAAGCAGTATTCTAGTGAACTTGAACTTTTTGAAGTCCTCTATCAATGCTTCTCAAAGTGTGGTTCCTGGACTGGCAGCCTGGGCATTAACTAGGAACTTACTAGAAATACAAATTCTTGGACCCCACCCCAGACCTACTGAAATAGAAGCTGTGGGGTTCAAGGCCACTAATTTGTTTAACAGGTTCTCTGGGTATTCTGATGCAGGCTAAAATTGGAGAAACATTTCTATAGAAACATAGGTAGTTAGATTTATGTACTCTTTTCCATTTCCATTGTTAATATTTGTATATAATATTGTTTTGCTGTCACATATAATAAAAATTATATCAACTATAATGAAATTTAATAGAACTATTTTTTTAATCACACAATAATTTTCCTTTAAAGTGCCATATACTGTTACCCGAAAATCTCTACCCCACCCATACTTTTGAGAATAAATTAATTCTGGGCAAAATAAATAACATGAGCAAATTCGTCAAGACAGCAATGAACCTGCAAGAGTGGAAATAACACTGCCTTCAGTAGATGCTGCTTATTGAACAATAATGAGAAAGATCCTGAATAAACAGGGTAGACCCAGATCATGGACGGTGAGTTTAAATGGCTTTTCCTTTTTCCTAAGTTTGAAAAAGTTAGAGTTGTCTTTTATTGAATAAATTACAAATGATAAAAATATTCACCTGATTCAAAATAGCAATGTTAAAACACTGCACAACCAATTTCAAAAAGGAAAGGAAATAAACATAAATGCCACATGACAATAACCTAATTGATATGTGTTGGAGCATATTCTGTGGAATTTGTAATGAGACAAAATACAAGTGATAAGAATTTTAAAGACATGAATCTTGCCAACCAATGTTAATAATATTGTTAACAATCTTATTATAATAATGTATAATATTGTATACATATGTTTATAATAATGTATAATATTGTATACATATATGTAACAGTGTTATTAGCAATTTTAATAATAGTTAAGATATTATTTTTAACCACATTTTTACTGTGCCCTGGGAAGCATAAATATTATTGGATGAAACTGTCTATAATCCAGTCTGGATTATTACTGACATAGGTATTTAAACTTATAGAAAATCCTTTTGTACCTTGAATGTTACTATATTTTGTCAGCAAGAATTAGAGCAGTTAGTAATAATATTAGCCTAAGTATTTTGGAGTTATGTTTTGTATCAATATTTAATAAGGAAATTTGGATTTCTACAGAAACAATATAGAGTGGAATAAAGTTGATGAAATAGTGGCTATCCTCTATAATCTCCCATTATAAAATATTATTTATATTTTATACAGTAGTAAAAAAAGTACAACTTACATGGCAAGAAGAAATCATCAATTGAGTGAGCATAAAGTATCAGTCAAGAGAAAATAAATGGAGGAATTCTTCACTAATTACTGATTCTCTGAAACTGTGAAAGGTCCCAGAGGTAATATAAAAATAATGTGTATTAATAACTTTCGTGAGGGTTTAGAGAGAATATATGCAGAAATGAATAGGAGAATTGTTGTTGCAAGTTGCCAATAATTGGATTGTGAGCAATGCAAATTTTATACTTCTCTCTAGAATTATTTTTCCCATGTAAATTCAGCATAGCAGTCTGATCCTATGAATGGTGATTGCTGGACCCAATCCAACTTCTCAGTTTGCTTCTGTGGACTATCTAGATAACAGTGAATATAATTTATACATTAATTATGTGATCATTTGATTAAATGAGCTAATATATGCGCTAAATCAGTGCTTTTCAAGCCTATCTACAAAATAGGATTCACCTGGGGTGCTTTAAAAGCTACCAATTATCTGCCCCAGCCCCAGACCAATTAAACCAGATTCTCCTTAGGTGATTAAACTGTGCAGCCAGAGTTGAGCACCATGATGCTTATTATTTGATGATATAAGGGAAATCAACTGATACCTCAGCCCATATACAAATGGTTGTGGCTGATTTTTTTTTTAAATCCAGGTCTTGTAACTACTGGCCTAGTGGGGCCCAATAAATAAATTCAGTCTATATTGGGTTCACTTAAATGTTTCTTCTCCCAGACCACCTCGTTCATGGCAATTATGACTTCCTCTCCAAGCACTCCCCAACAGAATTTCCTGTGATAATGGAAATGTTCTATATCTGTGCCCTCCAATATAGGAGCTATGAGCCATACGCAGCTATTGAGCTCTTAAAATGTGGTTAGTATATTTTAATTAGTTTAAATCTAAATAGCAATATATGGTTTGTGGCTCCTATACTGGACAGCACAACTCAAGAATTATCAGTGATCCAGCAACCAATCAGGACCTGGGAAGGCAGTGAGCTATCCAGAAGGACATATAGGAAACCTTTTTACTGATGAATGAACAGTACAACTAAATATATCTCCCAGGAGAAGTAGGAGCAGGAGTAGTATTTCAGCAGAGCTGTTGGATAAGATGTAATTCTTCTTAGGATAGCAGGATGGCCCTTAATATTGAGCAGACGATGTCAGTTTCAACCACGGACTCTGAATAGCTCAAATTTGGCCAGGATTAGTGGGCAAAAGTGAGTAGGCTACAGCCTTTGGAAGGCTTTGGTTGCCTTCAAAGATAAGGCAAGTCTCATCCATTCTTGAGGAGGTCAGATAATTAGTAGTCAGGGCACAGTTATAAGAATGAATATCTAATGATCACTAGAAATTCAATAATTCCTTTGGTTTTATTGTGATTCACTCAAAACCTAAAAACTTTTAGAGATCATATTAATGCTTTAAGTAAACTGAAAAAGGCACAGTATTTCTCTAGACTTCTGAATACATTTTTTACTATGGTTGTTCTAAAAATGGTGCTGCTAAAGAGAGATCTGGACTACCTGATCCAAAGTTTAATGTGAGGTCTGCTTTGGTATGTAAATTAGAATATCATCTTTATAAACAAGCTCTGTCCAGAAGGTAGTAGAATAATTTTTTGTTCATAAAAATTATGTGGGGGCTTCCCTGGTGGCGCGGTGGTTGGGAGTCCGCCCGCCGATGTGGGGGACGCGTGTTCGTGCCCCGGTCCAGGAGGGTCCCGCGTGCCGCGGAGCAGCTGGGCCCATGAGCCGCAGCTGCTGGGCCTGTGCGTCCGGAGCCTGTGCTCCGCGGTGGGAGAGGCCGCAATGGTGGGAGGCCCGCATATCGCAAGAAAAAAAAAATTATGTGATCATTCATGCTGTTGAGGCTTATTCAGTTGGCGAGAGTACCTCTAGCATTCTGTTTTCTACTTGTCACAATCCTTAATTGAAATCATATATTGGTATCTTAAACATTCAGTTCCAAAATGTCTCATAGAGCTGGTCCAGGAGATTAGAGAGCAACAGGAGCAGATGGTAATCTAAATGTAACCACTTGATATTTTAGTATTTGATGAGAGGTAAAAATCCTTATTTTTCTTTTCAAGAACGTGAGATTACTTGGGGGGAGGGGCGTGGTTCAAGGAACATATTTTCCCCCTCTGTATATTGGTGGCTAACTTCTTGCACAGGGCCATGATTTCAGGTGCGGAGAGAGAGTAGAGTTTCCTAGATACCAGATTACACAGTTAGGTTCCTGAGGCGGGGGCATCATGCAATTGTTTTCTGATTTAGAAAACAATTCTCAGTTTGTTATGCTCCTCTCTAGGTCAGTGAGCACTGCAGTGGCAACTAAAATGGAATTTTTAAACAAGGTGTAGGCAGTAACTGTAACTTATAGGATATGAATTTTCAACGGAAATGGCTGAATCACTGGGCCAGGGAATAGGGGTATTGGTCACTAGAATCCAGGGTATTGATAGCTTCTTATTGAATGAAATCCTGGTCCATGCAGCTGCTTGACATTTTGAAGTCTATCATTGCTTTAATCGAATGGCAGGAACCCACAATTCAAGAGTTTCACGGAGACATAGACTGCTATCTCTGAACATACAGACTGGGAAGAGAAAAAGCATTGTGATTGTTCTCTCTCCCATACCTTTTCTACCCTCCTATCACCTTCCAGACAGCCAGTGTGGTGCCTGAGTTGCAGATGGCAAGCTACAGGCTGGGTGCCCATGGTCAACTTTCTCAGTTCCCCAAAATACAAGCATTATTCCTATCTTAGAATTCCCAAGCCTTTCAGTTTGGGCATGGGTCAGAGTGGTAGAAACTATGTGTGGACAGGCTCTCATGTGTACATATAGTCTCATGGTTAAGTCTGTCTGTTCAGAGCATGTATTCATCATCTGAGAGTCAAGGACACAAGTTCATTTAAATTGCTCAAGGTCATAGAGCACATTAGCAGCAGATAAAGGATGGGAACCCATAAAATTGGACTCTAAAGTCCAGGATTTTAATCTCTAGTATATATCCCACCAAAAGGCCATAGTTCATAATAGCCAGCTTTACAATGTTATTTTAAAAAAATTATTCTGATATTTGTTTAAAATGGTAATTAAGACTTTATTTGACACTATTGCAGTAGGGGACAAAGACTGAACTCAACTCTAAACATAGCAAAAACAGCTGGGGATTTATAGCCAATGAGCAGAGTAAGTGAGTGGATCAGTGGATGTAATATTACTAAGAGGAGGCGTCAGGGGTGAGGATTCCTACTAAATTACCCTAACAGCCTTCTTGATGAGGGCAGGCCAAGGACAGGGCCAAGTATGAGGCCTACTTGAAAAGAGGTCTTAGAGGAACCCAACCAAAGTTTACTAAAGGACGGACTTTTGGTCAAGGTTCAGCTAAAATGAATTTTTTAAGCATTGAGAGAAAGATCATTGATTTTTGAAAACCAAAATCGCTAGATAATATTTTGAAAAATGCCATGCAATTAGTGTAGAATTTACTCTAATGATGAGAGAGATGCACAAAGCTGAAAGTTTTAGAAATGCTTGTGTGTATATTAGAAGTTCAATTAAATGAAAAATATAACAACTTGGTTTATTTTCAGAACTCTTCTTTACCATGTGGAACAAATTTGAAGCTAAGATAAAAGCCTTTGTTGCTGATGTTAAGAAAGCAGCTCTCTGTTGAAGTTCCAACTTGCTTCTATTCACTCATGTCCCTGTAATGCCTTCTGGTGTGGTGTAAAAGCAATTAAATGAAATTTGTGCTCTGCATATCTTGAAAATGTCATAATTATTTGTGTCAATTATTTGCAAATCTATTCTTTATGATACTATATAGAGAAAAGTCACTGCCATACATATCTTACACTTCCAGATAGAGGAACTGAATTTAGAAAAAAATTTGCTTTAGTTTTTTTTCATATTAAAACTGTAAATTCATTGAAGAGATCAGAACAAAGTTGTTATTATTTATGTAATATTTATTAAACCTAGTGAGACTGCAAATCATACTACTAGCTCTAGCTGAACTATAAAAGACATTATTTATAAATTCGAAGAACTTATTCTGTGTGGGAATGTTATTAATGAATATCAAGTTTAACTGGTATTAGTGTTAAAGGAACATTGAAAAGAATAAGAGGAAAAAACTTGTAAATATTAAGTTAGTAGTCTAGTATCTTTATTGTTGCCTTGTTTTCTCTTTTGGTCTTGAGACTGATAGATTTTCATGACTGGTTATTATCTAATCATGTGCCTCTTTTGATGTGAAGATGTCTTTTATTTATTTTTAGAATATTTTTATCAGCTTCTAACAGTTCTAAATATTATTAATAAATATTTTGGTTCTTTATCTGTTTGAAAACTGAAATGAAGTAAAACTAAATAAAATAATACTCTTACGTATTTAATTAGATTTTTTCCAGAATCTAGAATTATTGCACCATTTCAGAACGTGCTTATGTTGATAGGCTACTGATTTAGTAAAAAAAATATCAATAGGTATTTAAATTTCTACATTTAAGAATCTTTTGACAGTAACACAATAATAGGAGGGGACTTTAACACCCCACTTTCACCCATGGACAGCTCAACCAAAATGAAAATAAATAAGGAAACACAAGCTTTAAATGATACATTAAACAAGATAGATTTAATTGGTATTTATAGGACATCCCATCCCAAAACAATAGAATACACTTTCTTCTCAAGTGCTCATGGAACATTCTCCAGGATAGATCATATCTTGGGTCACAAATCAAGCCTTGGTAAATTTAAGAAAATTAAAATCATATCAAGTATCTTTTCCGACCACAATGCTATGAGACTAGATATCAATTACAGGGAAAAAACCTGTAAAAAATATAAACACATGGAGGCTAAACAATATGCTACTAAATTACCAAGAGATCACTGAAGAAATCAAAGAAGAAGTCAAAAAATACCTAGAAAAAAATGACAGTGAAAACACAATGGCCCAAAACCTGTGGGATGCAGCAAAAGCAATTCTACGAGGGAAGTTTACAGCAATACAATCCTACCTCAAGAAACAAGAAAATTCTCAAATAAACAACTTAAACTTACACCTAAAGCAATTAGAGAAAGAACAAAAAAAAAACCCAAAGTTAGCAGAAGGAAAGAAACATCAGATCAGAAATAAATGAAAAAGAAATGAAGGAAACGATAGCAAAAATCAATAAAACTAAAACCTGGTTCTTTGAGAAGATAAACAAAATTGATAAACCATTAGCCAGACTCATCAAGAAAAAAAGGAAGAAGACTCAAATCAACAGAATTAGAAATGAAAAAGGAGAAGTAACAACTGACACTGCAGAAATACAAAGGATCATGAGAGATTACTACAAGCAACTATATGCCAATAAAATGAACAACATGGAAGAAACGGACAAATTCTTAGAAAAGCACAACCTTCCAAGACTGAGCCAGGAAGAAACAGAAAATATAAACAGACCAATCACAAGCACTGAAATTGAAACTGTGATTAAAACTCTTCCAACAAACAAAAGCCCAGGACCGATGGATTCACAGGCAAATTCTATCAAACATTTAGAGAAGAGCTAACACCTGTCCTTCTCAAACTCTTCCAAAATATAGCTGAGGGAGGAACACACCCAAACTCATTCTACAGGGCCACCAGCACCCTGATACCAAAATGAAAGATGTTACAGAAAACCCTACAGGCCAATATCACTGATGAACATACATGCAAAAGTCCTCAACAAAATTCTAGCAAACAGAATCCAGCAGCACATTAAAAGGATCATACACCATGATCAAGTGGGGTTTATCCCAGGGATGCAAGGATTCTTCGACATATGCAAATCAATCAATGTGATACACCACATTAACAAATTGAAGGATAAAAACCATATGATAATCTCAATAGATGCAGAGACAGCTTTCAACAAAATTCAACACCCATTTATGATAAAAACTCTGCAGAAAGTAGGAAGAGAGGGATCTTACCTGAACATAATATAGGCCATATATGACAAACCCCTAGCCAACATCATTCTCAGTGGTGAAAAACTGAAACCATTTCCACTAAGATCAGGAATAAGACAAGGTTGCCCATTCTCACCACTGTTATTCAACATAGTTTTGGAAGTTTTAGCCACAGCAATCAGAGACGGAAAGGAAATAAAAGGAATCCAAATCGGAAAAGAAGAATTAAAACTGTGACTGTTTGCAGATGACATGATACTATACATAGAGAATCCTAAAAATGCTACCAGAAAACTACTAGAGCTAATCAATGAATTTGGTAAAGTAGGAGGATACAAAATTAATGCACAGAGATCTCTTGCATTCCTATACACTAACGATGAAAAATCTGAAGGAGAAATTAAGGAAACACTCCATTTACCATTGCAGCAAAGAATAAAATACCTAGGAATAAACCTACCTAAGGAGACAAAGACCTGTATGCAGAAAACTATAAGGCACTGATGAAAGAAATTAAAGATGATACAAACAGATGGAGAGATATACCATGTTCTTGGATTGGAAGAATCAACATTGTGAAAATGACTGTACTACCCAAAGCAATCTACAGATTCAATGCAATCCCTATCAAACTACAATGGCATTTTTTTTACAGAACTAGAACAAAAAATTTCACAATTTGTATGGAAACAGAGCAGACCCCGAATAGCCAAAGCAAACTGAGAAAGAGAAAACGGAGCTGGAGGAATCAGGCTCCCTGACTTCAGACTATACTACAAAGCTACAGTAATCAAGACAGTAGCTTTGGCACAAAAACAGAAATGTAGATCAGTGGAACAGGATAGAAAGCCCAGAGGTAAACCCATGCACATATGGTCACCTTATCTTTGATAAAGGAGGCAAGAGTATACAATGGAGAAAAGACAGCCTCTTCAGTAAGTGGTGTTGCAAAAACTGGACAGCTACATGTAAAAGAATGAAATTAGAACACTCCCTAACACCATACACAAAAATAAACTCAAAATGGATTAAAGACCTAAATGTAAAGCCAGACACTATAAAACTCTTAGAGGAAAACATAGGCAGAACACTCTATGACATACAACACAGTAAGATGACCCACCTCCTAGAGAAATGGAAATAAAAACAAAAATAAATGAGGCCTAATGAAACTTAAAAGCTTTTGCACAGCAAAGGAAACCATAAACAAGACGAAAAGACAACCCTCAGAATGGAAGAAAATATTTGCAAACAGAGCAACTGACAAAGGATTCATCTCTAAAATATACAAGCAGCTCATGCAGCTCAATATCAAAAAAACAAACAACCCAATCCAAAAATGGGCAGAATACCTAAATAGACACTTCTCCAAAGAAGATATACAAATTGCTAACAAACACATGAAAAGATGCTCAACATCTCTAATTAGAGAAATGCAAATCAAACTACAATGAGGTATCACCTCACACCAGTCAGAATGGCCATCAGCAAAAAATCTACAAACAATAAATGCTGGAGAGGGTGTGGAGAAAAGGGAACCCTCCTGCACTGTTGATGGGAATGTAAAATTGATCCAGCCACTATGGAGAACAGTATGGAGGTTCCTTAAAAAACTAAAAATAGAACTACCATATGAACCAGCAATCCCTCTACTAGGCATATACCCTGAGAAAACCATAATTCAAAAAGGGTCATGTACCACAATGTTCATTGCAGCACTATTTACAATAGCCAGGACATGGAAGCACCCTAAGTGTCCATCGACAGATGAATGCATAAAGAAGATGTGGCACATATATATGATGGAATATTAGCCATAAAAAGAAACAAGGACCTAGAGTCCGTTATACAGAGTGAAGAAAGTCAGAAAGTGAAAAACAAATACCATATGCTAACACATATATATGGAATCTAAAAAAAAAAAAAGGTTCTGATGAACTTAGGGGCAGGACAGGAATAAAGATGCAGACGTAGAGAATGGACACGGGGAGGGGGAAGGGTAAACTGGGCCAAAGTGAGAGAGTAGCACTGACATACATAGACTACCAAATGTAAAATAGACAGCTAGTGGGAAGCAGCTGCATCGCACAGGGAGATCAGCTCAGTGCTTTGTGACCACCTAGAGGGGTGGGATAGGGAGGGTGGTAGGGAGACACAAGAGGGAGGGGATATGGGGATATATGTATACGTATAACTGATTCACTTTGTTATACAGCAGCAACTACACAACCATGTAAAGCAATTATACTCTAATAAAGATGTTAAAAAAAAAAACAGAATCCTTCACCTATAGGAACCCAGTATGTAATATATAGTCATTATAGATCCCAGAGACAGATTGAAAGTGGTTTCTTTATCACCTCAGTGATACACAGATTGACAAATTTTATATACAGATACACAAATTTTATAATTTTATATATATATATATATATATATATATATATATATATATATTTCATCAGCACAGTGATTTATTTTGATAAATGTGAGACCTGAATGTGAGATGTAGGGGAAGGATAATATTTTATCCTATTTTCTCTACCTTCATTTTGTAGAATATATTTCTTTAAACACCCTCGATTTTAGAGCACAACTTGTAACAAATCGTATACAACATAGAATTCTTCTCCATGTAGAATTACTTTCACAATTTGATATTTGAAAGATGGTTTTTTGGCCTCTGCTATCTAGCTAAAATAGTCTCGCTTTCTTGTTTGTAGGAAGTCTCTCAGTGTCAGAAATGGTTCTTAACATCGAGTCAAATTCTACCTTCATAGTAAGTTATTCCTGTTGGTGGAGCTTGAGTAAAACTGAAAAATATTTTAAAGGCAGTTAAATGAGACAATATTAAAAATAGAGTCCTGGGTCAGTGCCTGGCACCAAAGATGACCTAATTATTATCATCAGAACCACTGAAAATGCTTTATAAGCTTTTCTTAATTAAGAATAATCCTTTAAGTACAATATTGATTGAAGAAAATCAAATTATACTGGTAACTGAAATTCAAGACAAAAATAATGTATGTAAACACTAAACTCTAGTCAATAAATTTGTTTCTTGCAGGAGTACAGGCTACCAATTCTGAATATACGTGTATACTGGGGTTGAACAAATAAATACAGGAATGATGGAATGTAAGAGCCAGGTTTCTCAGTGCTGGAGAGAGAAATTATAGGTAAGTAAATTGGAAAGCCTAGAATAAACCCCATGGTAATGCGTATGTTGGAAAGTCTTCATACTTTTTTGCAACTTGTATGTAAGTCTAGAATTATTTTTTAAACATTTTTCAGTAATCACCCAGAGAGTATTTGTATAATGAAATATGAACAGGAAACCCTAAATTTAAGATTTGGACAGAAGAACAGGTTATATTTGTTTTTTCCATTCATTTATTAATTCAGTTAAAATTCAGTGTTTATTATATCCAGGCACAGTGTTAATTGTTAGGTTTACAAGGGTAAACCAATCAAGCATCATTTCATCAACTCAGAATCTAATGAGGGAAACAAATGTTAAATGAGTATGTATATAGTAAGGTGAATTATATACAGAATTTGTGAATACATAAGTATGTATAATACACATATCTATGTATAACACTTTTTTAAATTGAAATATTGTTAATTTATAATGTTTTGTTAGTTTCTGGTGTACAGCAAAGTGATTCAGTTATATGTATGTATAGACTTTTATATATATGTAAATTATATATACTTTTATATTTTCATATTCTTTTCCATTATAGTTTATTACAAAATATTGAATATAGTTCCCTGTGCTATACAGTAGGACCTTGTTGTTTATATATAGTAGTTTGTGTCTGCTAATCCCAAACTCCTAATTTATCCCCCCCTCCCCGCCCTGAACTTTCCCCTTTGGTAACCAAGTTTGTTTTCTATGTCTCTGAGTCTGTTTTTGTTTTGCAAATAAGTTCATTTGTATCATTTTTTAAGATTGCACATATAAGTGATACCATATATTTGTCTTTCTCTGTCTTACTTCACTTAGTATGATAATCTCTCTCTTTAGAGAAATCAGCTGATAACCTTTTGGGGGTCCCTTGTAACTAACTCTTTGTTTTTCTCATGCTGCCTTTAGAATCCTCTCTTTAACTTTTGTCATTTTAATTATAATATATCTTGGTGTAGGTCTGTTTGGGTTTATCTTGTGCTTCCTGTACCTGGATATGTTTCCTTCTTTATGTTTCAGAAATTTTCAGCCATAGTTTCTTCAAATACATTTTCGATCCCCTTTTCTCTTTCTTCTCTTTCTAGGATCCCTATTATGTATGGATTGTCTTGCTCTATTATCCCATAGGTCTCATATGTTGCTTTCATTTTTTTTCATTTGTCTTTCTGTCTGCTTTCTGATTGGGTGATTTCCATTATCCTCTCTGCCAGATCACTTATTCATTCTTCTGCATTATCTAGTTTGCTATTTATTGCCATTTGCTCAGCTTTCATCTCAGCAAGTGAGTTTTCTAATTTTCATTGGCTCATCTTTATAGTTTCTAGTTCCTTGTTACAATGATCTGCATTTCTATTAATAGCCTTTCTTAACTCCTTCAGTATTTTTATTACCTCCTTTTTGAACTTGGGATCTGGTAGACTGGAGAGGTCTGTTTCATTGTTTTTTCTTTCAGGGGATTTCTCTTGTCTTTTAAGGGTTCTGTTTTGATAATATATGTTCGCTTTCATAATTTAACCATAATACTGCAAGATTATGTTTCCTTTTTCCAAAGTGTGTAGAACACATCATATATGCCTCAGAGGTAAGGATAAAGTGACTGACATTAAAGGCCTTGGATAAAGCTTAATGACCAACGACTGTAAGAATCAAATAGGATAGTAGCAATGAAAGTGTGATGAAGATATGAGGTATGTAAGAAACAAAATAAACTAGGCTGTTCAAATAGAAGTCTGAAAACAAAATTGGATTTAATGGCTGAGTGGCAAAGGAAGGATGCACCACACAGGTCTGACTTAAGAGAGTTGTCCAAAATGAAAATTGAAGGGCTTAGATATAGGGCAAAAAGGGAATAATAAGACTGAATAGGGTAAGATGACAATTTCAAGTCATGAGTTGGCTGAAGAGATAGATTATAAACTCATGTTCACAATTACTTACCTTTAGAGATTGCATCACCAATATGGAGAAACCTGGTTTCAAGTAGGTCTGGGATGGAGAAAGAAAAATTTCAAAGGGCCTAAGGTTATGCTTAGATTGGCAAGATTTTTTTTTTTAACCTATTTCATTACAGTCTTACTTAGAAATAAGAAATGAAGTTGGGAATTCCCAGAGGTACCTTCCATTGCTAAGGTGATTGAAGGGGAAAATGGTACTAATTGATAATTAACACTTGTTAAAAATTTACAAGATTTACATTGTCTTTGAGGAGTGACATCAGCAAGATGGTGGACTAGGAGGAGCTCTGGAAACTAGTCAGATCACAAAAGAAGAGAGCAAAAGAAGAAGAAAGGAACAAAAATGAACTACAAAAACAACCAGAAAACAATAAGTACATGTGCATCAATAATTACTTTAAGTATAAATGGACTAAATACTTCAATGAAAAGACACAGAGTAGGGACTTCCCTGGTGGTGCAGTGGTTAACAATCCGCCTGCCAATGCAGGGGACATGGGTTCGATCCCTGGTCTGGGAAGATCCCACATGCTGTGGAGCAACTAAGCCCATGTGCCACAACTACTGAGCCTGAGCTCTAGAGCCTGCAAGCCACAACTACTGAGCCCGCATGCCACAACTACTGAAGCCCATGCTCCTAGAGCCCATGCTCCGCAACAAGAGAAGCCACCACAATGAGAAGCCCACACACAACAACGAAGACCCAACGCAGCTAAAAATTAAAAAAAAAAACACAGGGCTTCCCTTATGGCGCAGTGGTTGAGAATCTGCCTGCTAATGCAGGGGACACGGGTTCGAGCCCTGGTCTGGGAAGATCCCACATGCCGCGGAGCAACTAGGCCCGTGAGCCACAACTACTGAGCCTGCACGTCTGGAGCCTGTGCTCCGCAACAAGAGAGGCCGCGATAGTGAGAGGCCCACGCACCGTGATGAAGAGTGGCCCCCGCTTGCCACAACTAGAGAAAGCCCTCACACAGAAATGAAGTCCCAACACAGCCAAAAAAAAAAAAAAAAAAAAAGACACAGAGTGGCTGAATGGATAAAATACAAAATGCATATATATGCTGCCTACAAGAGTCTCACTTGTGAATGGATAAAGATGTGTATATGTGTGTTTGTGTATGTGTGTGTGTATGCACACACATAATTGAATATTACTCAGCCATAAAACCAAAAGCAATCTTGCCATTTGCAACAACAGGGATGGACCTAGAGGGTATTATGCTAAGTGAAATGTCAGAAAGAGAAAGACAAATACTATACACCATTTCATTTATATGTGAAATCTAAGAAACAAAATAAATGAACAAACATAACAAAACAGAACCAGACTCATAGATACAGAGAAAAAACTGGTGGTTGACATAGGGGAGGGGGGGAGGGGGTTGAGTTAAATAGGTGAGGGAGATTAAGACATACATACAAACTTCCAGGCGTAAATAAGTCACAGGGATGTAATGTATCACATAGGCAATATAGCCAATAATATAATAATTTTATATGGTGACAGATGGTAACTAGATTATTGTGGTGATCATTTGTAGTGTATAAAAACATCAAATAACTATGTTGAAATCTGAAACTAATACAATATTGTAAGTCAATTGTACTTCAATTTAGAAAAACAGAAAAAAATTTTAAAAAGAAAAAAAAGAAAAAGCCTAGTAACAGTGATCATAAATAAATAGGCAATCTGAACATAGTTATAATACCAAGGAACCTGAAGCAGTAATCAAAAACCTCCCGACAAAGAAAAGTCCCAGAACAGATGGCGTCATGGGTGAGTTGTACCAAATATTTAAAGAAAAATTAACATCAATCTTAATTCAAACTCTTAAAAAATTGAAAGAGTGAACACTTCCTCATTCATTCTAATAGTCTGCATTACCCTGATTCCAAAGACAAAGACATCACAAGGGAAGAAAAATATAGACCAGTATCACTTGTATATATTAATGTAAAAATACTCAAAAAAATGCTAGAAGACTGAATTCAACAGTTAAAGGTTTTACAAACCATGACCAAGCGGTATTTATTAATGGAATGCAAATGTGGTTCAACATGTTAAAATTATTGAATGAAGTGTACCACATTAACAGAATGAAAGAAAGAAAACACATGATCATCTCAATTGATGCAGAAAAAGCATTTGACATAATTCAATACCTTTTCATGATCAAAAACACCCAAAAGACTAGGAATAGAAGGAAACTAACTCAACATGATAAAGCCATATATGAAAAGTCCACAGTTAACATACTCAATTATGAAAGACTGAAAGCTTTTCCTCTAAGAACAAGAACAAAATAATATTCTGACTCTTGCCATTTCTATTTAATGTAGTACTGGAAGTCCTGGCCAGAGTAATTAGGAAAGAAAAATTAATAAAAGGAATCTAAACTGGAAAGGAAAAAGTCAAATTATATTTTTAGACAACATGATCACCTTATGTGTAGAAAACCCTAAAGATTCCACATGCAGAAAAACTGTTAAAACTAATAAACAAATTTAGCAGAGTTGAAGGATGCAAAATCAACACACAAAAATCAGTTGTGTTTCTACACTAACAATGGCCAATCTGAAAAGGAAGAAGATAATTTTGTTAATGATAATATCAAAAAGAATAAAATACTTAGCAATAAACTTAGCCAAGAAGGCAAAAGATTTGTACACTGAAACTACAAAACATTGCAGAAAGAAATTAAAGACACAAATAAATGAAAAGACTTCCCATGTTCGTGGACTAGAAGATAATACTGTTAGGATGTCAGTATTTCCCAAATGGTCTACAGATTCAATGCAATCCTTATCAAAATTTGAGTTAAATTTTGGCAGAAATGGAAAAATCCATACTAAAATTTATATGGACCCACAAGGGAACCCAAATAGCCAAGACAATCTTGAAAAAGGAGAAAATATTTGGAGGTTTTACAGTTTCTGATATCAAAAATTTCCACAAAACTACATAAACAAAACAGTGCGGTACTGGCATGCAGACAGGCATATAGGCCAATCAAGTACAATAGAGAGCCCATAGATAAACCCTTGCATATATGGTCGAATGAATTTTGACGGGGTGTGAGGACCATTCAGTGGGGAAAACAGTCTCTTCAACAAGTGGTGCTGGGAAAACTGGATATCCACATTCAAAGAAAAAGTTGGATCCTTACCTTACACATATTTAAAAATTCTAAGTAGATCAAAGATGTAAACATGAGTGCTAAAACTACAAAACTTAAAATGGGGAAAGCTTCATGACATTAGATTTGACAATTCCTTGAAAATGATGCGAAAAGCACAGACAACAAGGAAAAAAATAGATAAACTGGACTTCAACAAAATTTAAACCTTTTCTACATCAAAGGATACTATCAACAGAGTGAAAAAGCAATCCACAGGATGGGAGAAAACATTTGCAAATCATATATCTGATACGGCATTAAGATCCAGAATATATAAATATCTCCTACAACTCAATAACAAAAACAAAAACCTGATTTAAAAATGGGCAAATGGGGACTTCCCTGGTGGCACAGTGGTTAAGAATCTGCCTGCCAATGCAGGGAACACGGGTTCAATCCCTGGTCCGGGAAGATCCCACATGCCACGGAGCAACTAAGCCCGTGTGCTACAACTACTGAAGCCCATGTGCCCTGGAGCCCGTGTGCCCTAGAGCCTGTGAGCCACAACTACTGAGCCCATGCACTACAACTACTGAAGCCCATATACCCTAGAGCCCGTGAGCCACAACTACTGAGCCCACGTGCTGCAACTACGGAAAGCCCATGCACCTAGAGCCCATGCTCTGCAACAAGAGAAGCCACCACACTGAGAAGCCCGTGCACTGCAACAAAGAAAAGGCCCCACTCACCACAACTAGAGAAAGCCCACGTGCAGCAACAAAGACCCAATGCAGCCAAAAATAAATAAATTTATTAAAAAAAATGGGCAAATGAATAGACATTTCTCTAAAGGAAATAAACAAATGGCCAACAAGTATGTGAAAAGATGCTCAACATCACTAATTATTAAGAAAATGCAAAACAAAACCACAATGAGATATCACCTCACATTCATTAGAATGGTTAATTTTTTTTAATCACAGAAAATAGCAAGTAGGTAAAACGGTACGTTTACTGTAGAAAATGTATGGCAGTTCCTGAAAATAATGAAACATATACCCAAATGAATTGAAGGCAGAGACTGAAACAGATATTTGTATACTCCTGTTTATAGCAGCATTATTCCACAATAGCCGAAAGACAGAAGCAGTCCAAGTCTCCAACAATGGATGAATGCATAAAGAAAATGATACATGTACATACAATGTAATATTATTCAGCCTGAAAAAAGAAGGAAATTCTGACACATGATGCAACATGGATGAACCTTGAAGACTTATGTAAGTGAAATAAGCCAGTCTCAAATGGGCAAATACTGCATGATTCCACATACATGAGATAGAGTACTCAAATTCATAGAGACAAAAGTTAGAATGGTTGCCAGGGGCTAGGGAAAGGGTGAATGGGGAGTTATTATTTAATGGACAAAAGTTTCTGATTGGAAAGATTAAAAAAAAGTTCTGGAGGTAAACGATAGTGATGGTTGCACATCATTGTGAATGTGCTCAATGCCACTGAACTGTACACTTAAAAATAGGTAAAATGACAGATTTTATGTTATGAATATTTTACCCAATAAAAAAGGTTTACATTGTTTTCTAATTATAATTTTTCAAGGTAATTTGCTATTTAATTTGTTTAGAGAAAAATGAAGAAAATCTAACAAGAATAAGCTTTGAAAATATTCTAGAGGAGCAAAGACTTTAAAGCTTTTAGAAGAGTTTATAAATTTGTTTTCCAGAGGATACAGAGCAAAGTCACATAAAGGTAAGAGTATAACAAAATTTCATATCTGGGTCACTTAACTTTAGCAATTATTTTCTTGAAAATTATATTTAAAAATTTTAAAATAATAGCATCAATAAACTAATGTAAACTCTGAGATATCACTGAATTTTCTACCTACATTTTTGTTGATTTTAATATTAAAATTTTACATAAAACAGTAAGCTTGAATGCTAATTATTTTTCTGTATTCAAATAGAAAGATACAATTCAATACTGAGTGACTTTTCCTTAAATGGATTGTGAATGTGTAACATTTCTAACTTTGCTTTTTTTTTTTTTAACTGAAGGGAGATAGAGTTGAGTTAATCATACTACTAATACTGTGGCATATTATCACCACTAGTTTATTCAAGGTCCCTCTCTTATTTTTACATTATCACATTCATCCCTATCCTTTTCCCACTCCTCTACTACTCAGCTACAGGCATTTGCTCTAATGTATTTAATGTGTCCTTAGATAAATTTGATGTCTGAAAAATATGTTTTATGCAAGTATTTTAAATTTGCATAGTGTGCTACTGCAGATCTCTTAACTTTTTTCTTTTCAACAGCCATACGTTTTAAGCACTATTCTGTAGTTGCAAGTATATCTGAGCCACTGCTTCTCACTGATGCATCCCACTCTAATGCTCTAGTCATCCAGTTCCCTGGTGATGGGATCCAATTATTTGTAACCACATGCCTTTTTCATGTTTGCAGGGTGAACACTCTCAAGAGTGAGATTGTAGGGGCCAGTGTATAATTTGTTTTCCTGAAGTTCTACTCAGCTGTTCCAAAGCAGCAGTACTAGTTTGCACTTTCAGTGGCAGTGCCTGAAGGTTCCTGTCAGTCAACCACTCACTAACACTTGATGTTACCAGGCTTTCTAATTTGTCCTAATCAGGTGAGCATAAAGTAGTATTTCATTATTCCAAATTGTATTTTTCTAATCATGATGATCATCTTTAAGCAACCGTTTCCTTTTGTATATATTTTTATCCATATACATTTTTAGCAATTTAGGTATTCTATTCTAAGGAAGGGTTTGATTTATTATCTATTTGTGTTGATGTGCAGGGGTTCCTTACATAGTCTAGATATTTATTGCTTATTGGTTTTAAATGTTGCCAATATTTTCTGCCACCTATGCCATTAACTATGTCTCTATTGTCTAGTTAATCAGAAATCTTTATTTTTAATACAGTGAAATACATTAATTGTTTTATTGTGATTTGGGTTTAGGGGCCTTAGGAAAGTTATTACAAAGATATCTTTTACATTGATTTCTATTAATTTTATACTTTTGTCTTTCATGTTTAGATCTTTAATCCATGAGAAATCATTTTGGTATGTGATATAGTACAGGGATCCAATATTATTTTTCTCCATATTATGTCATTTTTTTCCAGTTCCATCTACCAAAAGAACCATTCTTTTCCTGAATGATTTATGAAGCCACATCTATTGTATGCTAAGTTCCCACAGAGATGGGATGTTCTTCAGGTCTCTGATTTGCTTCTTACGATAGTCTATTTGTTCTTACACTACTATCACACTATTTTTTAAATCGATTTGTATTGATTGTACCATTTATCTGGTAGGATAAGACACCTACATAGCTCCATTTTTAAAAATTGCTCTAGCTATTCATAGACCTTTATTCTTCTACATAAAATCTGTATGGGAATTGCATTAAATTCTTAGGTTAATCTGGAGAGAAGTGGTAGCTTTACCATATTAGTCATCGCACCTTGAATATGAGGTAATTTCCATCCATTTTTTTTTCTTCTTTTAGTATTTTAAAGGCAACTTTAACAATTTCTCTATTAAAGTCTTATGTATTCCTTGTTATACATACATAACCTAACCCTTGTTAGGTTAAAGTCTTAATGCTTAATTTTTGTTGCTTATTTTATATTTTTCCAGTGAGTTATTGCTGGTTTTAAAATGTATTGAATTTTACTAGCAGAGTTTTTATCTGGCAATCTTTTTGAACTTTCTTACTGGTTCTAATAGTTTGCCTATATAGAAGTCAGTATGTCATTTCTCTTGCAAACATTTTCTCTCATATTGTCTGACAGGCTCTACATTTTATGGAACACTAGTGAGCAGAGAGATCATCTTTGGTTTGTTGCCAGTATCAAAGCAAATCAGTCTAAATTTTTTTCCACTGAGTATGTTTTTGCTTTAGGCCTCTGCTAGATGGACATTTTAAGTCAAGAATGTCTTTTAATTTATTTCCAGCATTATTGAGGTATAAGTGACAAAAATTGTACACTATATGTATAAGGTATACAATGTGATGATTTGATATAGGTATGCATTGTGAAATTATTACCACAAGCTATTAACATATCCATAACCTCACATACTAACCACTTTGTATGTGTGTTATATGAACACAAGATCTAGTCTCAGCAAATTTCAAGTATATAATACAGTCTTATTAATTATAGTCAACATGCTGTACATTAGATTCCCAGATTTTATTCATCTTGTAACTGAAAGTTTTTACCCTTTGGTCAACATCTCTCCATTTTCCCCACCTTCCAGCCCCAGGCAATAACCATTCTACTCTCAGATAGTATGAGTTCAAGTTATATACATACACATACACACACACACACACATTTTCTTTATCCATTCATCTGTCAACAGACACTTAGATTCTTTCTATATTTTGGCTGTAGGGAACAATGCTGCTGTGAACATTGGACCAGTTCAGGTAACTCTTCGAGATCCTGATTCCAATTCCTTTACATATATATATATACACTCAAAAATGGGATTCTAGATCATATGGTAGTTCTATTTTTAACTTTTCTGAGGAACCCCTACACTGATTTCCATAAAGGCTGTATCAATTTACATTCCCATCAAAAGTGTACAAGGTTTCCCTTTTCTCCACATCCCTGTCAGCACAAAAAGTGCTTGTCTTTTTGATAATAGCCATCCTGACAGTTATACCTCATTGTTGTTTTGATTTACATTTCACTGATGATTAGTGATGTTGAGCATCTAATCAAATACCTGTTGGATATTTGTATGTCTCCTTTGGATGATGTCTAAATAAGATCCTTTGCCCATTTTTACATCTTGCTATTGAGGTGTGTGAGTTTCTTATACATTTTGGATATTAATCCTTTATTAGATGTATGGCTTGTAAATATTTTCTCCCATTCCATATACTGCCTTTTCATTCTGTTGTTTTCCATAATGTTTTCTCTGCTGTTGCAGAAACTTTTTACTTTGAAGTATTCCCACTTGTTTATTTTTGCTTTTGTTTACTTTGGTTTCTGTGTTATATCCAAAAAAGCATTGCCAAGCCCAGTGTCAAGAAGAATTTTCTCAATGTTTTCACTTAGGAATTTTATGGCTTCAGCTCTTACATGTAAGTCTTTAGTACATTTTGAGTTAATTATTTTTTATGGTGTAAGACAAGGGTCCAATTTCATTCCTTTGCAGACAGCTATCCATATTTTCCTACACCATTTATTAAGGAGACTGTCATTTTCCCCATTGTGTGTTCTTGACATCTTTGTGAAAGATTAATTGACATATATGTGTAGGTTTATCTCTGAACTCTCTTTTGTTTCCATTGGTCTATGAGTCAGTTTTTAATGCCAGTAAGATACTGTTTTGATTACTATAGCTTTGCAATATAGTTTGAAATCAGGAAGTATGATGCCTACAGCTTTGTTTTTCTTTTCATTACTGTTTCTATACCCTTATTTATTATTGGTCTGTTCAGATTCTTAGTCTTAGTAGTTTGTGTTTCTAGGAATTTACCCATTTCTTCAGGTTCCAATTTGTTAACATATGCTTACTGACAGTAGTCTCCTATGATTCCTTTTTATTTCTATGGTATCAGTTGTAATGTCTCATCTTATTTCTAATTATAATTACTTGAGTATGTTGAGTCTCCTCTCTTTCTTGGTTAGTCCACCTAAAGGTTTGTCAACTTTGCTTATCTTTTCAAAAACCAACTCTTAGTTTCATTGATCTTTTCTATTCTCATTTGTATTCTTGTTCTGTTTCATTTCTTGTTGCCCTGATCTTTTGAATCTCCTTTCTGCTAACTTTGGGCTTACTTTGTTCTTTGACATGTAAAATTAGGTTGTTTATTTAAGATATTTAAGATACTTCTTTTTTCTTAATGTAGGCATTTACTGCTATAAACTTTCCTTAGTTTTTGCTTTTGATGCATCGCATGAGTTTTGGTATGCCATGTTTCCAATTTTGTCTCAAGTTATTTTTTTGATAGCTCTTTGATTTCTTCTTTGACCCGTTAGTTGTTCAGGATCTTGTTGTTTAATTTCCACACATTTGTGACTTCTGCAATTTTTCTTTTATTTTTGGTATCTAGGTTCATACCACTGTTATCAGAAAAGATACCTGATATGATTTCAATCTTCTTAAATTGTTAACACTTGTTTTGCAGTCTAGCATATGATCTATGCTGGAAAATGTTCTGTGTACTCTTAGAAGAATGTGTGTTCTGTAACTGTTGGATAGATTGGTCTGTATAAGTCTTTTAGATCCACTTGTCTGTAGTGTTATTCAAGTCTGCTGTTTCCTTGTTGACTTTCCATCTGGATGATCTATCGATTGTTGAAAGTAAAGTATTGAAATCCCTTACTACTATTATTATACTGCTGTCTCTACCTCGCTTCAGATCTGTCAGAATATTTGCTTTATATATTTAAGTGCTTCAATGTTTGGTATATATAATTTTTATATACTCTTGACAAATGGACTCCTTCATAATGGTGATCTTCTTTGTCTCTTGTGACAGACTTTGACTGAAAGTTTAGTGTGCCTGATAAAAGTATAGGACCTCTACTGTCTTTGGTTACTATTCACAAAGAATATCTTTTTCCATATATTCACTTTCAGCCAATTTGTGTCCTTAAAGCTAAATTGAGCTTTAAGTACTCAGAATACTGCTGGATCCTGCTTTTAAAAATCCAGTCAGGCACTCTGTGCCTTTTGATTGGAGAATTTAATCCATTTGAATTTAAAGCAACTATTGATAGGTAAGGAGTTATAGCCATTTTGTTAACTGTTTTCTAGTTCCTTTTTTTTCTTCCTCTCTTGCTGTCTTCATGATTTATTGATTTTTTGAAGTGATATGCTTTGATTTCTCTATCTGTTGTGCATCTACTGAGGTTTTTTTCTTTGTAGTTACCATGAGGCTCACAAACATCTTAAAGTTATAAGTCTATTTTAAATTGATAATGATAACTTCAATTGCATACAAAAATGCTACACTTTTACTTCTGTCCCTACCTCTTTTACGCTATTGACATCACACTTAACTCTCTTGATACTGTGTATCCATTAACAAATTATTGCAGCTACAGTTACATGTAATACTTTTGTCTTTTAACATTTATATCTGAGGTAAAATTATATATAATTTGTATATATAAATATATTTATGTATAATATATATATATTTATATGTAATTTATATATACCACCATTACAGTATTATTCTGAATTTGACTATATAGTTATCTTTACCAGTGAGTTTTATACTTTATATATTTTCCTGTTGTAACTTAGTGTCCTTTCCTTTCAGCCTGAAAAATTCCCCTTAGCATTTCTTATAGGCAGATCTAATGGTGATATACTCCTTCACCTTTTATTTGTCTGGGAATGTCTTCATCTGTCCTCATTTCTGAAGGACAGTTTTTTCATGTATAGTGTTCTTGGTTGGCAGGTTTTTTGTTTTCTTTCATCTCTTTGAATATATTATCACACTCTCGTGTCCTGCAAGGTTTCTGCTAAGAAAACTGCTGATAGCCTTATGAGGGGAGGGGAGGCTTTATGTGGCAAGTCATTTTTCTCTTCTTTCAAAATTCTTCTTTTGTATTTGACTATTGACAATTTAATTATAATGTGTCTCATGGTAGTCTTCTTTGGGTTGCCCTTGCTTGGGGGTCCTTTAAGCTTCATAAATCTGGGTGTCATTGTGCCTTCTAAGATTTGGGAAGTTTTCAGCTTTATTTCTTTGAATAAACCCTCTGCTCCTTTCTCTCTCTCTTGTCCTTCTGTAATTCCTATAAGGTGTATATTCACTTGTTTAATTAATTATGTCCCATAAGTCCCATTTGCTTTCTTCATTCTTTTTCATGTGCTTTCCCCACTCTAATTTCAAATGGTCTGTCTTCAAGTTTGCTTATTATTTCTTTTGCATGGTCAATTAAGCTTTTGAAGCTCTCTAGAATTCTTTAGTTCTGTCATTGTATTCTTCAGCCTCATGATTTTTCATCTGTTCTTTGTTTATGGTTTCTGTTAGTTTATTAAACTTCTCATTTTGTTCATGCATTTCCCTGATCTCATTTAGTTGTCTATAGTGTATTTTTTTGCATATCATTGAGCTCCTTTAAGATGATTAGTTTGAATTCTTTGTCAGGCAATTAGTAGATCTCCATTTTGTTGGGGTCAGTTACTGGAGCTGCATCAGTTTCCTTTGGTGGTGTTATGTTTGCCTGATTTTCATGATCCTTATAATCTTGCATTGGTGTCTATGCATTTTAAGGCACAAACACCACTTTCAGTCTTTACAGTGTGGTTTTAGCAGGTAAAGACCTTCTCTTGTTGGGTTCCTAGATGATGGAATTTGCTCTGGTATTGCAGTTAAGTGTGCTTGGAGCCAGACCATATGGCTGCTGCTGCAGGTATAGGTAGGCACGACTCCCAGCAGGTCTCTGGGCTGGCAGGATCACTCTTGGACCTCAGGTGAAAGTGGCTGGAGCCAGATAACAGGCTGATAAAAGGGTCCATCGCCAGACCAAGGTTGGAGGGCCTGATACCCACAGCATATGTGTGGATCTCTACCTGGATCCCACAAAGGCACTATTGTCCAGGGATAGGATAGCTGCCAAATTATTGTTGCTGTGTGGTGTTACCAGTGGATGTTCTCTTATTCTGCCATCTTGATGATGTCACTCTCTGAATGCTTTTTAAAACTATCTACTGAGATTTTAATTTTTATTGAAGTACAGTTGACTTACGATATTGTGTTAGTTTCAGGTGTACAACAAAGTGATTCAGTTATACAAACACACACACACACAAACACACATCTTTTCAAATTAGAGTTTTCCTCTTTTCCAGATACATGCCCAGGAGTGGGATTGCTGGATCATATGTTAACTCTATTTTTAGATTTTCAAGGAACCTCCATACTGTTTTCCATAGTGGCTGCACCAACTTATATTCCCACCAACAGTGTAGGAGGGTTCCGTTTTCTCCACAACCACTCCAGCATTTATTATTTGTAGACTTTTTGATGACAGCCATTCTGACTGGCGTGATGTGATACCTCATGTAGTTTTGATTTGTATTTCTCTAATAATTAGTGATGTTGAGCATCTTTTCATGTGCCTGTTGCCCATCTGTATGTCTTCTTTGGAGAAATGTCTATTTAGGACTTCTGCCCATTTTCTGATTGGGTTGCTTGTTTTTATTAGTATTGAGATGTATGAGCTCTTTGTATATCTTGGAAATTAAGCCCTTGTTGGTCACATTGTTTGCAAATATTTTCTCCCAGTCTGTAGGTTGTCTTTCTGTTTTGTTTAGAATTTTCTCCACTAGCTGATTAGAGTGTTGGATTTAATTAGTAGATCTTCTCAGTATTCTTACATTCCATCTTTTCTTGTGTGTGTGCCAAACTCTGCCTGTCAGTTTAAATGTGTCCCTTATAAATGACCTATTTTGATGCATCTTTTTAACTCCAATTTCCACTTTTGTAACAGCTATTACATTAGGGCTTATTTGTCTATTATTTCTTATATATTATACTGTATTTTCTATTTATTATAATTTTACTTATATTTTCTAGAGTCAGTTTATTTCTGCCTTACACATGACTCTGCTAACAATTTTTAATCTGGTTTCCTCATTGGCCTGAATGACTCTTTCTAGAAGATGCACCGTAGTCTGACACTCTTTTATCCAATCTTCCTTCCTTCATTCTTGTGTTAGACCTCCATCACAATTTCAAGGCCCTCCTGGCCAACATCTGCTCCATCTCTCCCTTATCTTTCAGAAGCATTTTCTCCAATAAATCTAGCACAATTCTAATTCTGTCTTGAGACCTGCTTCACAGGAGACATTTTTGTCGTTGATCTCAGAGGAAATGCTTTCAATATTTTGTAATTAAGTATAATGTTTTCTGAGTTATTCTTTTTTGCAGATTCCCTTTATCAGATAAAGACCTCCTCCTCTTCTATTATAAGTTCTGAGTTGTTTTTTTTAACATGACTATGTTTTGAATTTTACTTAATACTTATCTGCATCTATTAAGGTTATCAAATGATATTATTCCTCAATTCTGTAATATGGCAGATTGGACTAATTAATATTTTTAATTGTTTTCATTGAGGTATAACATAGTAAAGTAGGAAAAGTGCATAATCCAAAGTATACAGTTCAATGAATTTTCACATTTGTATATAACCATATATCTACCACCAAAATCAAAGTCAAGATATAGAACGTTTCCATCACCACAGAAATTTTCCTTTTGCTCTTCCCAGTCATCACCCACTCTCACCCAAAACTAATCACCATTCTGATTTCAATCACCACTGATTATTTTGTCTATCTTGAACCTCACATGAATAGAATCATACAGTATGTACTCATGTCTGTATTCTCTTAGTCAACATTAATTTGTGAGACTTATCCAAGTTGTTGCATATATCAGTAGTTCATTCTTTTTTCCTTTAATCACTGTTTTGTATTGCATTGTATAAACATATAATGAACACTTGGTTTGCTTCAAGTTGTTGACTATCAGAAATAGAGATGCTATGAAACAATTTGTACATGACATCTGGTAGGCTTATGTACTCGTTTATCTAGGGTAAACACCTAGAAGTGTAATTGATGGGCTGTAAGTTATGCATATGATTAAATTTACTAGATAACGCCAAACATTTTTTTACATTCCCACAAGCCACAAATGAAAGTTGCATTTGCTGGACATTCTTGGGAGTAGTCGATATTACCATGTTTTTTCTATTTCAGCCATTCTGGTGTGTTTGAAGTAGCATGTAATTGCAATCATGGCGTTAATATACATATCCCTGTTGCATAATTACATTGAGCATCATTTTCTTTGTTTATTCATCATCTAGATCTCTTTAGTGACATGGCTGTTCAGGTCTTTTGCCAATTTTTCAAAGTCGGTTATTCTGTTTTTTACTTATTGATTGTAGGAATTCTTAACATATTCTGAATACAAATCTTTTACCACATGTATGTATTTCAAATTTTATTTCCCAGTATCTTGCTTGATTTTTCACTCTATTAGTATTTGTCAACAGAAGTTCTTAATTTTAGTGAAGACCAACTTATAATTTTTTAATTTATCTTTGTTTCCAATATTAGAAATTTCTGCCTACTTAAAGAAGATGCATTTCTCTAGTAGTAGTATGGTTCATTATTTCACATTTTGATTTCTGATTCTTCTCAAATTAATAATTATTCATGGTATTCAGAAGCACTAGAGTGCCTGATGACTAAGTCTAGGTAAATTCAACTGGCAGATTCACTCAGTCTGTATTTTTTAAAGAGCCTCTTTCATAGTGGACGTTCTTTGATGCGCATTAAATGTGATACTACACACTGTGGGACCTGTGAGTTTATCTATCTGATTCTTTTTAAACTCCTTTTTCCCCACTCTATTTTTTCTCTTTCTAGGCTTCTGACCAACCAGAGAAGTCATTCACTACTACCAATGAGCAAGTATTCTTACCTCAGGCTACTTCTCTTTACATACTAAGTGGACGAGCACATTCAACCTGAGCTCTGACCTTTGGGAGGATTTCTCCTTGGAGGATTACCTGTCTTTCAGCACCACCTGAGTATGGAGTTAATATAGCAACAATCCATTTTTAACTTGCATCTATTTACAAGGTGATCCTTCCATGAATCTTGTTTGGCTTTTTTCCTCTTCCATCAGCTAAACATAAGGGGCTCTCCCACCTTCTGACTGATATATCTATGGATGTGATCTGAGGAGGTGCTGATGGTGGGTGACATGGAGGTCTGAGTCATCAGCTCATTCAGCTTAACTTGAGTCCTCTGGCCTTACTCATGCCCTATCTTAGATGCACAGCAGCTACCCTAGCATAGATTGCTATTGGACCCACCTGTCATTTTAATAGGAATCATCTGACAAAACCAGAGTATGATTAAGTTATAGTTTCATAGAAACTTGATGTCCCACAGACAGTAGTTCTCTATCAATCAAGGTCCAGATTTTTATGTCAGCTTTGCCCTAAGGATATATATTTTTATTCTGCTACTTGAGCTTGCCATAAACTCCATATTCATCTTTCCAACCACTTCATATAACAGAGCCTATCAGTTCATAGGATTCAAGCATCTTGTCTGCTTAACCCTAGACTGCACCTGCACCAGAGCTCTTTCCTGAGTCCCATTCAAAGCTGGCAGCATCACCTGGTATATGGGTCAGGTGAGTATTTCCAAGTTTCAAATATGCATCCTCCAGAACCCAAATATGATTGATTACCAGTTAAAGATACATGCTTAAGTTGCTGACCTCTTAATTTCAAATACATTTTAGATATTCTGCATTTGTACTCATCTCCCCTCAAAATTACTGTTTTTGATATTGTAAGCCTATCTTTGGGGGTGTGTATGCCTTAACTGCTTATTTTGCATACAAATTGTACTACTTTTGTCTTTTAACCCCTAGCTTTGTGTGTGGATGATTTACTACCTTTACTGTATGTCTGCCTTAGTAGTGAGCTTTTCTGTTTCATAATTTTCTTCTTTCTAGCTGTGGCCTTTTCTTTTCTGCCTAGAGAAGTTCCTTTAGCATTTTTTGTAAAGCTTGTTTGGTGGTGAACTCTTTTAGCTTTTGCTTCTCTGTAAAGCTTTGATTTCTCCATCAAATCTGAACAAGAGCCTTACTGAGTGTTCTTGGTTGTAGGTTTTTCTCTTTCATTACTTTAAGTATATCATTGCCACTCCCTTCTGGCCTGCAAAGGTTTCTGCTGAAAAATCAGCTGATAGCCTTATGGGAGTTCCCTTGTATGTTATTTGTTACTCTTAATATTCTTTTAGTCATTTTGATTGATTACACTGTGTCTGCTGTGTTCCTCTGTGGGTTAATCCTGTATGGAACTCTCCACAATTCCTGGACTTGGGTGACAGTTTCCTTCCCTCAGGTTAGAGAACTTTTCAGCTATTTCTTCAAATATTTTCTCAAGCCTTTCTCTTCTCCTTTTGGGACCCTGATCATGCAAATATTAGCGTGCTTTATGTTGTCCCAGAGGTCTCTGAAACTGTCCTCATTTCTCTTCATTCTTTTTTCTTTGTTCAGCAGCAGTGATTTCCACTACTTTGTTTTCCAGCTCATTGATCTGGTCCTCTGCCTCATTTAGTCTATTATTGATACCGTATAGTGTATTTTTCATGTCAGTTATTGTATTCTTTAATTCTGTTTGGTTGTTGTATTTTCTAATTATTTGTTAAAAACTTCTAATTTCTCACTCTGTGCATCCATTCTCCTCACGAGTTCTTTGATCATCTTTATGATCATTACTCCAAATTGTTCCTTGTGTAGATTGCCTATCTATCTCTACATCACTTAGTTGTTCTTCTGCAGTTTTATCTTGTTCCTTTCTCTGACACATATTCCTTTGTCACTTCATTTTGTCTAAATAGTTAATTGTATTTTTATGTATGTGGTAGGTTGGTTATGTTTGACCTTGGAGAAATGGCCCTCTATAGGAGACAACCTATGCATCCCAGAAGTGCACTCTCCTCTCTTCACCCAAGGGCAGGGGGCCAGCTGGTCCCAGGATGGTCACTGGCATGCATTTGTGGACTCAGTCTGAAGGCTGCTGGACTATAGTTTTCTTGCTTCTGGTTTCTGCTCACTGGTGGGTGAAGCTAATCTAGAGACTTCTGAAGGACTGGTGCCTGCACCCTGGTGGATGGAGGTGAGTCTTGGTCCTCTGGGGGGCAAGGATGTCTAGAGGTGTGTCTGCAGGTGGCTGTGTGCTCATGAGGTCTTCAGGAAGCCTGTCTGTTGGGTGGCACTGTTTCCAGGAGAGCTCATGCAGATGAATACTCACTGATAATACCTGCCACCAGTGTCTAAGTCCCCAGGGTGGGCCACAGCTGCACCCCGACTCCCCAGGAGACCCTCTAAGACCATCAGGTATGTCTGGCCCAGGCTCCTTTCAAATTACTGCTTTTGCTCTTGGTCCCAGTGCGCATGAGGTTTTATGTGTACTCTTTTAAGAGTGAAGTCTGTTTTCCCCAATCCTGTGTAGCTTCTGCACTCAAGCCCTGCTGGCCTTCATATCCAAATGCTCTGGGGGCTCCTTTTCCCCAGGCTAGGGGGCCTGATGTAGGACTCAGAACTCTCACTCCTGTGGGAAAATCTCTCTAATTCAATTATGCTCCAGTTGGTGGGTCAACCACCTGGGGGACATGGGATTTGATTATATCATGAATCAGCCCCTCCTATGTGCCTTGTTTTATGTCTTTATGTATCTTTCTGGTAGGTTTCAGTCTTTTTCAACAATGATCGTTCTGCAGAGTGTTGGATTTTGGTGTGCTCCTGAGTGGGGGTGAGCTTAGGGTACTTCTATTCTGCCATCTTGGCCACTCTATAGCTATTTTCTTTATGGTATCAGGGATTACATCAAACATCTTAAAGTTTGAAATAGTAATGGTCAGGAGAAAGTGTCAAAATGGCAGCATAGAAAGACGCGAGCTCACCCCTTCTTACAAAAAACACCAAAATCACAACTAACTTCTAAATAACGATTTAACAAAAAAAAATGCTAGAACAAAAAAGATAACCTGCTTTCACAAAGCAAGAAGAAACCACAATGAGACAGTTGGAGGGTGATAAAATCAACTCCCATACTTGCCAGGTGGGCAACGTATAAAGTGGAAAATAATTATACCACAGAAGTTCTCCCACCGGAATGAAAGTCCTGAGGCCCACATCAGGCTTCCCAGCCTTGAGGTCTGGCAACAGGAGGAGGAGACCCCAGAGGATCTGGCTTTGAGAACCGGTAAGGTTTGATCACAGGAATTCCACAGGACTTGGGGAAACAAAAACTCTACTCTTAGACGGCACACACAAGGCCTCCTGCACACCATGACCCAGGGGAAAAAGCAGTGACTTCATAAGAGACTGGGCCAAACCCACTTACTAGTATTGGAGGGTCTCCAGCAGAGCCAGGGATGGCTGTGGCCCACTGTAGGGACAAGACACTGGCAGCAGTAGTTCCTGGGAGTACTCATTGGCGTTAACACTCCTGGAGGCCACCATTTTCTCCCAAAAACCTAGCTCCACCCAACAGCCTGTAGGCTCCAGTGCTAGGACACCTTAGGCCAAACAACCAAGGAATAAGACCCAGTTCCACCCACCAGTGGGCAGGAATCAGTCCTTCCCACTGGGAAGCCTGCATAAGCCTCTTAAACAGCCTCATCCACCAGAGGGCAGACAGCAGAAGGAAGAAGAACTACAATTCTGGAGCCTGCAGAACAGAAACCTCAATCAAAGTTACACAAAATGACATGGCAGAGGAATATGTCCCAGGTGAAGTAACAAAACCCCAGAAGAACAATTAAGTGAATTGGAGATAGCCAATCTACTGGAAAAAGAATTCAGAGTAATGATAGTGAAGATGATCCAAGATCTCGGAAAAAGAATGGAGGCACAGATCGAGAGGATACAAGAAATGTTTAACAAAGACCTACCAGAACTAAGGAACAAACAGATGAACAATACAATAACTTAAATGAAAAATACACTAGAAGGAACTGATAGCAGAAAAACTGATAAGTGAGCTGGAAGACATAATGGTGGAAATCACTGCCGCCTAACAGAATAAAGAAAAAAGAATGAAAAGAAATGAAGACAGTATTAGAGACCTCTGAGACAACATTAAAACACCAACATTTGTATTCTAGGGGTCCCAGAAGAACAGAGAAAGGACCTGAGAAAATATTTGAAAACCTCCCTAATATAGGAAAGGAAGCAGTCACCCAAGTCCAGGAAGTGTAGAGTCCCAAGGAGGAACACGCCAAGACACATAGTAATCAATTTGACAAAAATTAAAGACAAAGAAAAAATATTAAAAGCAACAAGGGAAAAGCAACAAATAACATACAAGGAACTCCCATAAGGTTATCAGCTGATTTCTCAGCAGAAACTCTACAGGGCAAAAGGGAGTGGCACAATATATTTAAAGTGATGAACAGGAAGAACCTACAACCAAGAATATTCTACCCAGCAAGTTTCTCATTCAGATTCGAAGGAAAAATCAAAAAGCTTTAAAGACAAGCAAAAGCTAAGAGAATTCAGCACCACCAGACCAGCTTTGCAACAAATGCTAAAGGAAATTCTCTAAGCAGAAAAGGCCACAACTAGAAACAAGCAAATTACGATTGGAAAAGCTCACAGCTAAAGGCAAATATATAGTAAAGGTAGGAAATCAGCTGCACACAAATATGATATCAAAACCAGCAATTGTGAAACGGTCCCGAGCCGAGGTGTCGCCAGGGCGGTTCTGCACCAGGAACTTTGGGCAGAAGGGCTGGTGTGAGGCCTCTGCCCGTGGCTCCCTGTGAGCAAGTGAAACTAGACGAAGCGCCAAGGCGAAGAAAAAAGCCTCAGAAGCAGCGGGTTAAAGCTCCACAATCAACTTGATGTACCTGCATCTGTGGAATACAGGAATAGACAACGAATCATCCCAAATTAAGGAGCGGTGTGGATGAAAGGCTCTTGGTGCTGCAGCCAGGAGTTAGTGCTGTGCCTCTGAGGTGGGAGAGCCAACTTCAGGACACTGGTCTACAAGAGGCCTCCCAGCTGCACATAATATCAGATGGCAAAAATCTCCCAGAGATCTCCATCTCAACGCCAGCACCCAGCTTCACTCAACTACCAGCAAGCTACAGTGCTGGACATCCTATGCCAAACAACTAGAAAGACAGGAACACAACCCCACCCATTAGCAGAGAGGCTGCCCAAAATCATAAGTCTACAGACACCCCAAAAAACACCACCAGACATGGACCTGCCCACCAGAAAGACAAGATCCAGCCTCATCCACCAGAACACAGGCACTAGTACCCTCCACCAGGAAGCCTACACAATCCACTGAACCAACCTTAGCCACTGGGGACAGACACAAATAACAACAGTAACTACGAACCTTCAGCCTGCAAAAAGGAGACCCCAAACACAGTAAGATAAGCAAAATGAAAAGACAGAAAAACACACAGCAGATGAAGGAGCAAGATAAAAACCCACCAGACCTAACAAATGAAGAGGAAATAGGTAGTCTACCTGAAAAAGAATTCAGAATAATAATAGTAAAGATGATCCAAAATCTTGGAAATAGAATAGACAAAATGCAAGAATCAGTTAACAAGGACCTAGAAGAACTAAAGATGAAACAAACAATGATGAACAACACAATA